CCCCCCCCCCAAGGCCTAACGGGTTCCTTTCCCAGCTGGCAAGGCCAGACGGAGGACGACACAGGTGTGCTGCAGGGCGATCAGAGATAAACCCGCCCTCGGAGAAGCTTACCTGTCCCCCGCCACCCCTCACCCCTTCTAGCTAGGTCTGGTCTGTTTGTTTGTGCGTCTGGCTTTCCAGAGGCAAGAGGAGGAAAGCCAGCCAGTATGGTGTATAGGCCAGGTGACCCTGAACTCTCCCCTGAGCAGACCCCGAGCTGCCCTGTCCACACAGGGCTGACTCAAGCTCTCCTCTCCGACCTCAATGGTTTCCATTGATTCCTGTCCTCAAAATTCCCGTTTCACGGTCTCCCTCTGCGACAAATCAAAACACCGGTCTGTTTGGGAGCCTGAGTGCAGTGCAGGCGGCTGGGCTCTAGTTCCTGCACATTCCCGGCCCCGGGGGATCCGCGCCCCTACCTAGAACAAAAGTTGGCAGGGGCCTACCTGGAGCGATTTAAGAGGCCCTGGAAGGACTTTCAGAATCAAAACACCCCACCCACCACGGTCAGACAGATTTCCACCCAACAGACAGACTTTCACAATGCACATCATTCCATGTTTCCGAGAACGAATTTAATCAGACTGCTTTCCAGCTCACACCCGTGAAGATGGCCTCATGTAGAGGGGCCTCGGGCCAGAGAAGGGTGGAGTGAGTTCCTGGGCACAGAGAAGGCAGGGGGGGCCTCAGGGGCACCAAGAACCCAGTGACCTTTCCGGAAGGGGACCCTCAGCTCTGATACTAAGGCCGGAGCCTTCTGGGGGGTGTTCCCCCTCCGGCCCTAGACAGACCCTGGAGAGTAAGCCAGGGCGCCGGGAAGGGCAGGGAGAAACTTACAACTATCGTTCCCAAAGCAGAGGCCTGCCCCAGGCCGCGGGGGTGGGGCGGGGAAGGGCAAAGGGAGCGGATCTGAGCGATGGGAACCGTCGGGAGGGTAGCTGGGCTCCGGGAGGCTCCAGATTAAACAGCTCCAGGCAGGAAGCCCGCCTTCTCCCAGATTGGTCAGGAAGTCGTGATGCAAGTTTGCGCG